AGTCCTATTTGATTCGAATGGTTACTCTGAATAGAGAACTAAAATATTTGATAGATCAAAGTCAGACTAACAATGATATAAAAGCGTCCATTCTTATAATCAGATACTATACTATGATGGTCTGGGCATGTTTATTAATGTGTAATGTGGCAAAGTCAGTTTACAATAAATTGTATAAAGTCTTTTTGGGATACTTCAAAACTGCTACAAAATGCTCGAATCATAGATAAGATGAGAACTCCATATGAGGAGGAAGGAACGAAATCCAACAGAATCTGGAATTCCGGTTTCTATAAAGTTTCACAGAATTTTGTAAGATATAATCAGGAATTCATAGAATTCTAGAACTCTGCTCTTCCCCTCTTAATGTCAAGGAACACATTTAATAATAATCTTAAAAGAGTATCAAACTTTTGAAACTCTTGTTGAAATCTAGTTTTTTTGGGTTTTCTATGCAACACTGGTCGATCTGAAGTACCATTCCCATGGGAAAAATTTTGTTACTTTTAAATGCTGCGAAACGCATTAATGCTGACCGGTTTAACGCGTTTCGCAGCTGCTAAATCGGTTAAAAATGCCGCAAGACGATATACTTTTCGTTTTCATCCGAGAATTGTGGCTCCGAAACGCGTTTTGAGTAAGTGGAAAAAAGGGTTATATACGTTTCGTATCACAGGAAACGCTGCGAACGCGTTAAATCGGTCAGCATTAACGCGTTTCGCAGTGAATATATCCTAATTTTTTATCCCATGGGTTCATTTAGAATTATGCTAGACGTCCACAGTTTTACTGCATAGAATTAATATATAAAGAAAATTCAAATAAAACTTCTCAGCTCGAGTATTTCGATGGTCGTATATAAGCGGGTATGGCATTATTTATGTTCTTATATGTCGAACGTACAATCGTTTACGATCGTATTTCGTTATTTTCCTTGACGGACGGTTTACGACCGTATTTCATCGTGAATGTATACGATAAAATACCATGCTATACATTCGTTGTAAACAATCGTATAAACCCCGTATATGATTACATACAACATCAACTTTTATTCATATTAGCCATATTGTCAATTTCTCTCTATCCGACCTGCTGTGAGAGTAAAAATTTATTAGCAATATATCTAACTATTTTTTTCAAAAGAAGTCAAAAACTTCAATGAACTTTTGATACCTCTCGGCCACATTTTCATTCGATCTCATCAATTGGAACAATCTATCGTTGTCAACATTCAATGCGATGATGGTTCGATAATCGTTGAACAATATAAAAGAATGAAGAACTACTAGCAGATGTGTTAAACGATACGAGACTAGCCTATGAGACATCGTTATCATCGGGTAAATTGAATCGATCGGTTGATAATTATTAGATACTATCGCAACGTTTCAATTTCTCGTAATCACATTTGTTCAATTTGATTGGCTCCTTTTTTTTTACTTGTCTCTTTCGACATTCCATCGTTGAGCAAATAGAAAAGATGTATTTTTATGCATTGTTTTTTCTACCAATATTCAACTATCTATTACGTTTTTAGAAACTTCGAAAGCTGGATATTAGTGCTTTTTCATTGCAATACTTTCTAAGACGAAAAATAAAATAGAATACTTTGTGAGATATATAGTTAAACTAATCTTCCTATGCAGTAATAAAATAATGAATATCGATAATTTCATATATGTGTAGAGAAAAGACAAGTAATGAATCAAAAAATGTGCATGTAGTTTTGAAGCTTGGAAAGAAGTGGTAATACATAGATGCGTATTGAGAAGATGGGATAAAAAATGTATTCATCAAAACAATGAACAAAATAATCGTGTATAGAGACGGCAGAAGATAGCTCAATATATTAATGTTGGGTCTCATATTTTCATGACAAGTATAGCTTAAACATCAAACTTGAAGAATTGAAAAAAAAATCACAAAATATTCAAAAATCTAAAAGAGTTCAATTAATGTTTTTGAGTTTCAAATTGGAACAACAATCCTGCAGTCAAAAGCTCTATTTCTGATGGTTATCTGAAGATATAGAGAGGGTGGAACGTTCAAAGACTCAATAAATCAAAAAAAAAAATTTCATGACTTTCGTGAATTTTGTATCAAAATTCACGAATTAGAAGGCATTTCCGATGATGAAACGGGCATAAAAATTTATATAGTTCAATTTAATTGATTAGAAGTCACATTTTAAGGAAGCAAATTCATAGAATTAAATTAATGAAAATATTCATTTCATCATCCGAAATGTTATTTTCTTTGATTTTTCAAGTCTTTGCATGGAGACGATATTTGTCCTGCTCGCTTGTGCATCCTTTCGAACGAATATCTGAGTATTTATTACATACAATCGTTCGAAAATAGAACATAGAAATCTAATTTCGTTGAATATTGATTTTCTTCATCCGATATAGATACTTATCGAGTGTTCTTGGTTACTTACTGCAATAATACCGTTTGCCTTACGAATACAATCGCATGTGATCGTATACAATCATTGTGTACATCAGTGGCATATGGTAGTTTATTATCATGGTTATTTTTACCTGAATTATTTTTATTCAGCTATCATTAATGTGACTCAAGTTATAATTATCAACTGCTTTTATAACAATGATCAATAGTTACATTTTCTTATTATAACGACACGAAAAGTGAAGGATAAAGAGTATATCGAGAGAAAGAATATAACACGTGTGCAGACTTATTCATTTTTCTCCTATGAGTTGCCTACCTTAAGAAAAGGTTACACTCCATTGATACACGTAATCAGATGTTGTTTGGAGAAAAGCCCAGGTGATTTCATCAACGACAAATACACGATAAAGCCAGTTGCGAATCGATATCAAACAAATTTCATACATTTCAATCTCATTTTGCACGTGAGTATATTTGATTTTCATTCTATTTCAACTAGTGATAAAATTATAGTAAAAAGTTAAGAGTAACTACAAACAACCAAGCGACATGATATGTAAATGAGACATATTTGGGTTGTTAATCGTCAGAGAATATTTTCAAAGAAGCTTCGATTGAATATGTTCAGCATAAACAATCGATAGTCATCTTAGAAAACCAAATAAATCAAACTAATTCCATTTAAATAATTATTTTTGACTATTTCATCAAAAATATTTCATGACTTCGATGAATTTTCAAAAAATGAAATTAATATCATGAATTCGGTTAGTTTTTCATTTTTCGCATCCGATGAATATGATATACTTCATGACATCAAATTAACTTTATTAAATCGATTATTTTCGCATCAACTTCACTGAATAACTTTGATGTAAAACTCATTATTGACTTTAATTTTTTCTTTTATTCGAGATTTACTTAAAAACTGTTTTATTTGTTAATTGGAATCATATATTGAATTTTTCGACCTACTTTTACCATCGACTGATAGTTCTTAACGAACTTTATCCAACATTACTAACTGCTAAAGTAAGAATGTGTCTAAGACCTTCCATGTTGTCTTTAAAATTTTTAATACTGATGAGATCATATGAGAAAATGTGTATTTGATATTTTTTTTCTTCTTCATTTCTCAAACTGATCGCTGAGATATTCTTCTCTGTATACTGTTCTCTTAGGGACAACTTCATCTACATTTTCAAGTATTCTCTGTCCAGGCAGTCAAAACATGGAAAAAGATGATTAATTTTACATAAAAAGCTTGTCAGTACGACCACATGAGTGGTCAACCCAGGCAGATACGATAACGGCGTTTAAACATCTCAATCTGTAAACTGTGAAAAATGCTTGATTAGCCGTCAAAAACGCGTTAAAACAGTTTAAGATGAATAATTTTTTAACACGGTTTTTCTATGTTTAAATGCATAGAATTATTGAATGTTTCACTGTTTTAATGCGTTTTTGACAACTAATCAAACGTTTTTAACGATTTGAATCATAGTGATGACAATATCTGTCAACAGTTATTACATATTTTATGCGAATGTTTATAATTAATTATAAACATTTACAATGTCGAGAAGAGAGTGAAGGTGAAGAGATTTTGTGTACAACGATTAACTCAAAAATTTGTCAAAAAAAAAATGACAAACCACGAATTTATCTAATGAGTTTCTAGCACTTAGAAAATTGCAATCCCAACTGCGATAGTCGATAAATGTTCTCTTTGATCTTCAGCAATAGGTTTGTTTTTATTTGGATCAGTTCCAGAGTATCTAAATTTGAAGACGAAATTTTGATTAAGGTGTGGATGTTTGTGTCAATGTGACTAATGATTTCATTCACATTCACATCCTATCACAAAAAATCGCAAAAAAATGTTTTTTTTCTTTTGACGATAGTGATCTCAGAAAAATGTTAATGTTTCAAGAACAGAACAACATTGTTTCAAATAGAGAAATGTGTTTTACCGTTATTATGATTCATATCGATTATCAATCGAATAATTTTATTTAAAATAAGAATTTTTTTCAGACGAATTGTCTAATTTGCTGCCAGTTAGTTTTGTACCATGATTTTCTACATATTTATTCCATTTGAGAAGCATTGGCATAGACGATAGTTCACTCCATTCTAAACGCCATACTTTGATAAAAGAATTAAAAATGACTTCGATAGATCTACTCTCACTCCAAGTTTCGGTTAGAATTACTTGAAGTAGGTTGAAATAGATCCATCAAAAGAATGTTTTATACTTTTTGTGAAAAAGTTTTCAAAGTTTTACAAATTTCATTGAAAATTTTCAGCACTGCTACTGAAACCTAAGATTTTGATACTCATCGTCGCTTACAAAGGAAAAAAAATTAGAATAAATTCAGCTGTCAATCAATACATTGATTTACATCTATAGTTCTACATATCAAGAGAATTGATTTCTTATGTTCGAATAATTATCTTTTTGTTTTCGAATTCTTTATTAGGAAATCTGAAATCAAACGACTGATTTTAACAAATATATATATTGATATCACCTCTTGCATTATACGATCAATTCAAAGTATTTCAATATGAGTAGATCAATGCGTCGTGTCAAAAAATTTTCTTGTGAAACATCACGTTTTCTTTTACCTACATTTCGTCGCCCATGTTATCGTGAAATAAACACAATAAATACCATGTGTGATCCAGCAGAAAAAACTTTTGCAAAATGGAGTGAAGAAGATGGACAATATTACCGTACAATTAACACGGCTCTTCTTAATGATGATTATGAAGTATTGAAAAAAAATGTACAATTTATTAATAGTTTAAAAATGGCAATTAAAAATGAGAGCAAAAATGAATTTGTTAAAGTTTATCGTGGATTATCGATTAATCCTGAACATGTAAGACAAGAATATAAAATAGGTTTAAAATTTTTATGGCCAACATTTACCTGTGCATCAAGAAATAGAGATGAAGCAAGTTGTTTTGGTGATTATATATTTGAAATCGATGCATCAAAGGATGATTGGACATATCGTTGTGATATTTCAAAATATTCTGTCTACCCAGAAGAACAAGAAGTTTTATTCTATCCATATAGTGGCTTTATTGTTCAGAATATTCTATATGATGCAAAAATAATTCAATTAAAATGTATTGATACACTGGAAGTTGAATCGAGCTGTGAAAAAAGTATTCCATCTTGCGTTAAAATTTTTGATTCATCGAGAAATATGTTCGTTTATTTCTATAAAGATAGTGCTGATGTCCATTGGTCATATGGTGATAAACCAAATGAAATCTTTTTAATTGCGCAAAATATGAATGGCTATTGGGATGCACCTTATCGTTATCATCATTGTAATGGATATTTTATAGATAAAGGAAACAATCAATGGGAAGAATATCAAAACAATAATTTACATGCAAGGTTTACAAGAGTTGATGATGATGATGATAATGGTAAGAATCGTGATGATTGTGATGATAAAAAACACAAACAATTCAACAAATAATACAACAAAAGGACAGACACGTATAAAGTGGAAAATCGACTTTGCGACATTTCTCTGACAAACTTCTAATTGTACATTTTATACAGAATAAAAAAATGCACACACTCAGAATAGCAAGCGGGCTCTACAAGTGACTTTCACATTTGTGATCGACGGCATCATTTTATATCTGATTTCCTCTCAGAGCTTATATTGCTCGATTAGATTCGAGAAAAATGCTTTTATCGTCTTCCATTAGTCGTTGTTTGAAAATAAATATATGATAGCAGATTAGAAAAATTTCTAATCGGAGTCGGTATGATGCCGATAATTCCAGAGCTGAAAATGCACATCCCTGCAGTGAATACTCTTGTAAACATCATAGAAAAACATGGAATTATTCACATTTCTCTGTTTTTCTGTGGCTGTCCGACTCAACGAATATCGACTAAAATCGCAGTGCAATTTACTTTCAGGTGTAGAGTACTCGTCCCACTTAGGGCTTAGCGTGAGTAGGATATACGAGGGTTAGCAATTAGAGACCACAGTTCTCAGCTGATATTCTATAAAATCTCACTATAGTAGTATTCAACCCGGTTGCTACATTAAACAAAAAAATCTTAAATAAAATATAACAAGGGTGTGGGGTGCGGGTGTGGGTGTGGGATGTGGTAGGGTGTGAGTGTGAGTATGCGTGTAGGTGTGGGTGTGAGTGTCAGGATGAGTCTTGAGTTTAACCACACCCACCCATACCCCACATCCAACATCCCACACCCCACACCCACACCCACCCACACCCAAAAATTTGGGGTGGGATGGGTGGGTGTGGGTATTGACTTCATCTACTGCAAAATAGATTGAAATATAGGTGGAAAATAATGAAGTCTCAGTTTTTCCCCTGGATAAGTACTCACTACAGTAATCATCCTCGTGTTCTTTTGAAGAATATTTATCAAAGCTAACTTGCTACAGCTATTGTTACCCAACATCCAAGAAGTCGATCAATAATACGATTTTATTTCTTTAAGATACATTTGTAGATATTTATGTGATTCTTACGAAATATATAGTGTGAATATAAGTGGATAACTAAGATTGTACGTATAACGCCAGAATGGAATAAAAAAAAACATCTTAACTATTATTGTTATTGTGTTACAAAGAAAGGAGTTCATAAAGTAAATGGACAGTCTATACAATCGAAACGCAAATGATGTTCAATCTGTCATTTTCCGAAGAGTTCAGAATTCGTTTGTAACCGGCATTCAGTGAAACGTGTTTTTTGTAATACGTGTGGCAAATACAGGTAGATCCTCATTTTGATCATTTTTTTTTCATCGAATAAAATACGAAAATAGCAAACTTCTGTGAAAATACTACTGAAAAAACTAAAATAATCTCATAAGAAAATGGTACGCTATCGATAAACTGCCAAGAAAGACTTAGCAGTACTAAAGTTAACGATGAATGATTTGATTAAAAACAATGTTCAATATTTCTATTAATAGTTTTTTATTTATTTGTATTACATTATGTTTTAGTTTTATTCTATCTATAGAATATTTTCTTATGATCATGTATTTAGATGATTCATATTCTTTCTCTATATACAAAAAAAACCAAGATTATTTTTTGATATTTATACTAAGATTAATTCAAATCTGTTGATTTTTACAGCAATTAAAATAAAAAAAAAAGGAAGAAGATGCGAAATATTCCTTTTATCATTTACATTTATCTTGAATAATGCGTGTGATCTTGTCGTTTATTATAGCTAACGAAAAAGAAGTATATTGAAATTATTCAAAAGAACGAAATATTACGATAAGATAAATAAATAAATAAACCATCATATAACGAAAAAAATCCTGTATTTTTACCTATCACTTGTCGAGTGAACCAAAAAAAAGAGAAACGATAAAATAAAGAATTAAACGACAATTTTCATTTAGTAAGGAGAAATTTGAAATAATTAATGATTCAAAAACTGTTTGTATAGCTAAAGTATCACTATCAAAATAATACAAAAATCAATTCGAGTAAAATTTATTTTTATATTTTCTTTTTATCTGTTATGTATTCTTTTTTGAAATAGTATTAAAAACAGAAGATGAATATTATATTGTTGAACCAGATCCACATGAATCAAGAAATTATTTAATTTATGTAATAAATGATCAATTAAATTGAAAAATTCGTTTTAGTCAATTTCTTTATCAAATTTATAATTATGATAATTATCTTTATACAATAATTATTCAAGATAAATTATATAATATTCGAGTTTCAAATTTAAAAAATCATCAATTAACTATTATTGATAAAATTCAACAACAATCAAATTATTGTTCAGATATATTATTTCAACTTACAAATTTATTTTCAAAATTCTCAAATCAAATATATCATTTATATATTAATTAAAATCAATATAATTTGGGATATTTTGCTATTGCTATTCTACTTCATCTTCATCAGACAAAAGAATACCGTAGAACTATATCCTTAGAAACTATCAAAAATTTTTGTGCAATTTAATTACTCAATAGAAAAAAAGCTATTTCACCATATATGATATATGTATTTGAATAAATCAATTGATACATTTGACAAAGAATATTGAGCAATAATACACATCGACTTCCAAGACTTAAAAAAGCATAAAATCAACGAAAAGTGCCCGTGTTTCGCTGACAATCGTAACTCGTGATTGTAAGCGGAACATGGCCACCACTTTTCGATGATTTTATTCCCTTTTTAAACATGTTTTCCAAAAATAATTGATCGCAGGTAATCCATTCACACATGTATGATTCCTATATGGATAGAATTTTATAACTTATTGAGGCAAATAGCTGTAATTTACATGGGAGCAAGAAATGTAGAAGTTCTAGTTTTACCAAAAATTTGTATTTCATTTGTTCTAGATCATGCTGGAACTTTATCAGCGTCGTTTAAAGTGTTGCTCGAATTCCCAGAAATCCATACAACTGATTTCGCAGTATTCGATATCGCAGAATACAATGCATTCTTTGAAATAACATATCACTGAGGGACAATAGATACGAAAAAAACATGCAATATTCTACTTCTCTGTTATAGAGACCTTAATCATGCTTAGACATGCATCGAACCTAAACGTTCGAGTTTAGTCGTTTTTAGGCAATTAATACAAGAGTTTGCTATAGTCAGTCTACGCGCAATAGAATAAATCATTCAAAAAAGATATTGACAATGTTGGTCGAACTCTAGGATACTTCCCTGAATCGATTACATACCCAAGGAAATGTAGGAAGAATTGCCTCGATGCTCACTGTTGTCTGGGTTTGTCGGACAGATCTCGAACTCTAAACTGTAGTTTAGGTTCACTGCACGCCTTGTCATTCTATTTCTTTTTGCTATATCCGTAATGGAAAAATATCGATTCAGTCGACTTCAATATAGATTAGACTGATAATCGAATTTTTGTATACTCTATTTATATTTTTTCAAAAACTACAGATCGAAATCAAATCAAACTCTGTTTGATAATTTATCGACAATATTTTATATCCGAATTGCTTTGTTTATTAGACCATAGTAAAACAAATCTCTCTTGGATAATGCGAAACAGTTGCTCAATGTTTTTGCGTATCGATTAAAAGTTTATATTGATGACGAAAGGTTCGTTTGGTCGCATATCGCCGGTATAAATTCATTATTTCGACTATTTGCTTACCTTAGAACATAAATGACCAAGTCAAATTCTGTTAATATAAAAAGATTAAAATTTTGTCAAAAAAGTGTTTAAAAATCCGCTCGAGCATTTAAGAAAAAGTTCGCTCCTAAACAAACATTAATACTGTTGAATAGATTTGTTTTCTGCTTCTGCAATGTCACTATATGACTATTCAACAGACATAATTTCTTTGCTTGTTAACGAATCCACAGTTGAATATAAGCTATTGCAGACCCGTCCATCGTCTTATGTCTTGTGATTTTGCACGTGGATGGCAATCGATGTTGCAACCACTCAACAAGTTCACCTTTGGTCGACGATGATACCTCAATACAATTCGGATAATTGTCCTCTTCACACTCAACATTCAATGCTCGGAGATTAGTCATGCCGTTAAAAAGAATAAGTATATCTGTTCGTTTTATGACATTGATTGTTAGAACTTCACAGGAAATGCCTAGCGGTGAATGAATCAATGACCAACAATTTTGACTGTCGAAGTAACGATTAGACCAGTATGATCGAAAATTAAGTTGACGAATTGACAGTTTCATCGTTTCAAGTAGTGAGGGTATTTGAACTGGCCAAGTCGAACAACACAATTTCCATGCAGCACGATGAGGTATTCTGTCGAGCAAGGCTTGCAGTTGTGAGTAGATATGATCGCTTTTTTCCAACAGGGTTACTTCGAGTGAGATCAATTGATCAAGTCTGGGAACGATAGACCAAAATTTGTTATCGACAGGAAGTTCCACGTTAAGTTGATGAATGTTGAGAAAGCGAATATGCGGTGGACCCTGAACTTTAGATCTAGTAGTCTCATAGCGTAGATTATCGACTTGAGATATCAGGTCGAATCGATAAATATCTGGAGAGTAAGTATAACGTCGATACAGACTTTTGGATACAGGAGAGTCATAGTGGAAAGTGAGCACACGATCATATGTCCAATAGTCATCATCATAAGGACAAGTCGATTTGGATTGGATAGGAAAATTGCTACAAAAAAAGTCAAAACCATAGGGTAAAGTATGCAGAGTAATATGGTTATTGCTAGAGTTCCAAAGACACCGAACAAACCACTGATGTTCCTCAAGCCAAAAGTGACTTCGAAATGAATCCAATAGTTGTTCGGCTTGTTGTTCCTTATCATCATCTTCAGAAACAGCCAATATCATTCTTAGTCGAAATACTTTGAGCTTGGGTAAATAATTGGCAATAATCTGTTCCCATTTGTCTCCCTTCAATTCATCGTCTACTGTGACGACTGCCAGAAGATGTAAATTAGGCATGCTTTCTAGAAGATTTGTGTTAATAATCGACAAGTTAACATAAGTGAGCTTCAATGCATTCATTGATAGGATCGGAGATGGTAACATTTCTAAACTAAGATCCGGACATATATTCGCATAAAGATATCGAAGATGAGGTGTGTGCTCGAACAGACAAGTCAGAAAATTGAACGCACACAAGAGATTTAGATATGACAAATATTCGAGAGATGACGAAATTACTGTTGGTGTAACAATATATTCCGCATTACGGTAACCAATATCTAGATAGCAGTGGGTAAGTTTGGATAGACTCCAAATGTTGTTGAGGAAGCGTACAATACCTTCAGGAGAAAATTCAAAGTAACATTTAACGAATTTTAAATGACTGAGATGAGGAAGAAAATGATATTTTGGCATAATGTAATCCTCTATCGAGCAACAATCAAGGTGATACAATGAAAGTGATCGTAAATGAGTGAATTGACCAAGACTGAAACCATAAGAAAGGAAAAGAGTGGTTTGTTCTGGAGTGTCATCATCATCAGAGAGACGAAGTGCACTAATTCTGTCGACCATTGATACAAGATGTTGTCGGCAAACAATGTCAAAATCACGCTTAGAAATGGCTCGAAAGTCAAGACCATAGGCTCGAAAATGCATGAAGAGAAGTGTATTAAAGCGAAAATTAAGACCATAGAAGGCGCGAAAAAGATCAGCAGTCGTGAAATATTCAAATAGTTCGAGCAACAATTCGTTGACCAATAATTCCAGATCCATCGTATTTTGCACTATAATTACAACCAAATTTATTGATGCGACGAAATAGATTTAAATAGATCGAAATGTAGTATTTAACATCGGATAAATAGAAGAAAAAAATGCTTTCATCTTTATTGTTTCTTTTTTTCTTCCTTTCTAAATTCAATCTATTATGAATATTGACTTCCTTCTTTTTCTCGACATACAATTGGTTATTCTCTTTAAAGAAGATTTAAAAAAAGGTTATTTATTTTAGGCCATAGCATAGTTAAATATCATCAAATACCTTTTTTGTAACAAAATGAAATAAAATCTCTTAAGCTTATGACATACATGTATCGAGTATGATTCATAGAGTCGAAATGGTATTTGTAGCACCAAAATAATAATGTTTTTGAGGTGATGCTTTCGAAACTCTCATTACAAAATACAGGCTGAAATATAGCCAGATGCTAAACCCATGATTACGACGATCGTAAACGTCTCAAAACGATACAATAAGGCATGTGAGTGTGGGGTGTGGGTGTGTGAGCGTGGATCTCATACAACATCGCACCCACATCCACACACCCACACCCCACACCCTAGTTATAACCGATGAAGAAAACATTGATTTCGAATAGATTGTGCAAAGAAAGAGATAATCTTTAATTTAATTAATAAAAACCAATATTTCTGGAATTTTCAGCCATTAATTGCCGTCAAAATCGGTTGAAAACACTTTATTTGTAGATTTTTCTGCTAAATGTTTTTTACATGGGTAATAATGAAAATATTTTTCTTCAATATGCCGAAGTTTTCAAATGAAGTAAGGGAAAAAATTTTATAATAAAAAAAAACCTATGCTAAGATGGAGTATATGAACGTTAATAGGAATGGTAATAAATTCTACAATTAACTTAATAAAATGTTCATCGAAGCATGCATCAAATTTCGAATTTTTGAGCGAGTGAAAATAACAATTATGTTCATGCAAACACTTAAAGTATATATATTTTTAGCGTTCACGTGATCACATTCTCCACACTCGTTTAAATACTCAAAAAGTTGTGTTTTTAAATATTTAGACAGGTTTTTAGAGACTTTTCTCTGGTTGGGCGACATCAAAATCGATACGGTTAAAAAATAACAGCGACTGAAGGCAGACTAGGTGGAATAGGTCGATGATCAATAAAATATCAGGAGTTTTCATGATTTTTATTTAAATCTTGTGTTTCATTGTAATAAACGCTACAGAATTCTAACATAATAGATGATTGAATACACAACTTGGAGTAGAACTTTTTCTTTTGATCATTATCTACTTGTTGGTGGTTCACCAGGTTTGTCATCTTGAACACTAACTGTGTTATCATCTTCGACGGACGTTTCCAAACGGGATTGATTTGATGTTGTTGAATTTGACAGTGTATAGTAATTGCCAATATGATGAAGATAAGCAGTTGCTGCACTTGCATTTGGACACATTACATGTAGGAGGTGTTCTTCGTTTTTATTAAAAAAATTCGTACGTTCCGTTGGGTTTTTGTTTATATGAAATTGAATAGTTTTATATTTAAAATCTTTGTATTTATCCTTTTCCATTGTCGTGAATACTTCAACTGGTTTACTCTGAAAGCAATATGTTGCTTGTTTTTGATCGAAGCTTTTCGTTCTTGTTGACTGTGTTGCTTGTTTTTGATCGACACTTTTCGTTCTTTTTAATCGTGTTGTTCGTTCTTTATTTAGACGCTTCTCGTTTTCTGATTGCTCTGCGTGTCTTTTATCAAAATCTTCTATTGCTGTTGGTTCTGTTACTTGACGGGCGAAAACTCGAATGGAAAATGGTTCATGATGATGACTTTCCAGTTTTTCAGCTAGAGATGCAAGTTGCTCTTTATCATAATCGTTACGTTCTGATAAAATAACCCTCTGTTGGTCATAGATAGTAACAGAATGACCTTTCTCCTTTGATGTCGGATTCATTAATTGTGTCCAAACATTATTCCAATAAAGCGTGATGTCATCAACAGACGGTTTGTCATTAAAAATAGTGTCGTATTCTTGAGGATAATCATCGACAGATTGATCATAATAATGAGAATAAATTGCGAATCTTGCGAAAATATCGCATTTATCATACCATTTGGGTCATTCATGCAAATTTATTTCTTCACTAGAAATTTCACACGAATCTATATCCGGATAGAGTGATTTATAGTGTTCAAAGCAACGACTATCTTTCAGAATAGTCAGTATATTGAATTCACTGCGAGAAAGACAATCATCTATAGTTTCATAGTACTTTTTCATCATTGTCTTAATCACATGAGGATGAAAGACAATCGTCGATGCACATTTATCATCTTCTGGTAATACGATCGTCTTGTCAGCGTGTATAAACGGTCGATATTCGGTGCTGACAAGGGAGAAGCAATAATTTTTTGTGTTTTTCAGAATGTTTTCTAGATCTGTCGTTGCGACTATCAACGATAAAGAAAATGCTCGACAATATTCAGCTATCAATGAATGATGGCCAGGATGTTTCGAAGGACAATGATCAATGGGCCAGATACCATCATCATCAGTAGAAAAAATAACTGGTACACCTAGTTGTAAGAGTGGATCGACTCGAATTGTTTGTTGATAATTACCTTGACGTAATGCTTGTCCTAATAGATATTCATTGCTCGTAAGATTGAGTTCGAATGCAATCTTTGTCAATACATGCTTGGCATGTTCTCGCATTTCGGCCAATAGTACAGATGATTTACGACATGTCGATTTGCTCAAACTGTCGCCTAAAATGCGACTAAAAGCAATACCATGACCAACACGTATGCCATATTTGAGTTTGCGTTGTAAAAAGCGCAAGCAACGAAACACAATATACATGTGCGCAATAAAATGACGATAAGCACCTACGTCGGCGTCAGCGAATGGAACGTTTTCACCGCAGTGAATACGTATACCAAAATTTTCATTTTTATTTTCTCGAATGTCATTTATGTATTGAATGAAAGGCCATGCTACGAACGGACAATACGGATAACCCATCTCATCACCAAACAGATCGAGACCAACTATCCAACTGTAGAACGATGGAACTATTTTGACACATGTCTTCATTTTTTCTAATTGTATGATAAATTCCTCAAATAATTTACTACGAGGCTGTTGTTTTATAGCCTATAATTAACATAATAATGAAACATGTAATACATGTTAAATGATATATTTCTCTTCGGAATAGCTGTAATTTTCAGTTCATATGAATCTTCAATAGGAAATTTTGTTAGATTTTCTATCATGTATGGAAAAAAATATCTAGAATTTTTTTCGCTTTGATAAAGTTTTTGAAATACTTCAAATAATTTTAGTAATACTTTTATCTACTGCACCACCTAGGCAGACAAATATGTCGAGGTTTTGCGTTTTTCCATCAAAAGTGTAACTTTGATCGAAATTTTGACTTTTTTTTTAATGATTTTTTTCGATATTTCCAGTATTTTTAGCTGTTTCTGTATTGAAATTTGTTAAATTTTAGGTAAAAAATTGCCTTTTCATTACAGATTTCGAAAGTCAAGGAAATTAGTCAGGTTTTCCAAGCTTAGAAAAAAAACACATAATAATGCTGACATTATTCAAGACAAAATTTTTATCCATTCCTATGAATGCTAACCGATCTCTACAGGAGTGGCAATACATTTTTAAAATGTGGATTTAATATTTTTCTGCTGAGAAAATGCAAAATTCTGTTTACCGATGGAAATCGTTCGTTCCGTATAGGGTGTGGGTGTGGGTGTGGGTGGGTGTGGGGGGG